CTTCCTTCCCTTCCCTTCCCTTCCCTTCTATAGCAGCTAAATAGTTTACTAGACATGATAACTGTATGTTTCTGAACTTTATTTTGGATGTTTCCCATTCACAGGCCTTTAAGAAGGCTTTACAACAGCTCTCTTGAAGGACCCATGAATGTAACCTGGATATCTTTGAAACTTATCTTTCCCAGGTTCATGTCTCTGTTTTTGATGATGAATACAGAACATAATTTCCCAATGAATCCAATTCAATTCCCACCATGTTTTGATGGCGCCTGACTCCTTTCTCTAAGCCTCCTCTAACTCAAGATAGACAGGGCAAGCTCTATTCCAGACAAGCCAGCCTTACCTTCCTGCAAAGCCTCCGCTCCCGGGGTAGTTGGGCCGTCCATACATGCCTTGTTGAATGTATGACTGATTAGAGCTTGCCTTGGCTGAGAAAGGCTGCTGCTGCCCTGCAAACTGAGGTGAATTCATGCCAGGGTTGCTGGCTGTCATCCCAGAAGCCATGGGATTCCCTGCTGGGTTCATAGCACTGTTGGCATTTGCCATGGGATTTCCCAGCACCTGATCGAAAGGGAAAGTGACATCTCAGAGAACATCTGTTTTGCACAAGTAACAGCTGTCATTTTAAGAATTTGTCCCTTCATATTTGAGAGAATAAAATAATAGCAGAGTGAATCACTAAAGGAAAACCTAACGGGGGTAGAAGCACTGAGATAACATCACTGCTTGACCTCTTTACAACTTGTTCAACTTTGTTGGACTAAGAGAGAGACCATCAAAAGGGACAACACTGGACCATCAACCTCTAAAGCCAACACACAGAGTGGTTCTTTTCTTCTTTTTCTAAACCATAACTCCTAGCCAGATCAGTAAAATCCAAGAACATAGCCTTTTTAGGATATAGCATCCCCCAAGTAATATGTCTCCTGGTGGCTTGCTTAATCTTAACATGTATACAATAGATACGGTAAAATATCGAGGTTTAATTTTATAATGGAGCAAATAGAATTGTGAAGTAAGGAAGAGAAATCCAGAGAAATGTAAGATCACAGAGAACCACCTTCTGTCTGCTACAGCACCCACAGTCCTGCAGAAGGGAACATTAAGGTATGCCCAAGGTCACAAGTTCTACCACTGACAAGTCTTAGTGAAGGACCTCAGAAGGGAGGAGATGCTTCTGCTTTAAGAGTAAGCAACACCAAGTAGGGAAGACCAATTATCTGTACAAGACATGCATCCAAATCTCTTTTGCTTGTCTCAACACCCTCTGATTATCCAATGGTTGTAGTGCCTGCTCTATTTGCATTCATCCTCTGGCCATCCACAGAACAGGGATAGGCTAAATTCAATCTTCTGTGGCTTACACATTTTATATTCCTAAACAGATTGTGGCCATCAATGAATGTTTTTCTACAAAGAGAGAAATGCCCTGACAATTTTAGATACGTAGTGCTTGTGAGTACACACTTTTGTTTCAGGATGCGAATCCAGCGTAGCGCTATCTCATGCCCCTTTCAGCTGCACAAGTCTCAGTAATCAGTATGTCCCAGATGGTCTACTGAAAACTGGCCAATGGCAATCCAGAAAACCAATCCAGAAAACCATCCAGCTTCATCCTTGCAACAGGACGCTCCATGGTGAGCAATATTACCTGTTGAGTCAAGTTTATACCCTAACCAACCATTATTCAGCCTTTGGGGGCAGGAAGTGCATCAACCTTATCAGACCTGAAAAACACAATCAAGGAGAAGATTCACAGGATGATGCTCACCTGGCTCTGGGATGTATTAGTCACACCCCATACTGTTGTGACCACCGATAGCGAGCCTGGTGGTTGGTTACTGTTTTGTTGCCAAGGAACAGAATCATAAGGAAATGATCCATCACTGTAATAAAATAAGAAAGAAGAAAAAGAAAAGAATAGAAAAAGGGGAAGGGGAAGAGACACACACAGTAGATAAAGTCATACTTTAATACTTTAGTTTAAATGACTGCCAGGGCTGGTGGGAAGAGCCATCTTTTCATTTCTGAATGGGATTCTTCCCTAGCTAACTTGATGAACCTTTCTGACAGAGATGACATCGATGAAGTTCATTGTTCCTTTTGGGTTGCAAAGGAGAGGGGATGTTTTTGCAGCCATGAAAGGAAGAAATACACAGTATTGGAGAGTGAGGCACAAAATGTATATGACAATGAGGATGAAAAGTGAATGGGAATGAAATCAGTTGAAGCGCAAACGTTTCATGTTTGGCTACCTGCCAGAGTAGCACCTGGCAAAGCATCTTGGAAGAGGGGTTTAAGCAGCTGATAGAAGATGTGAATGCTTGGGGATTTTTGCTGTGCATGGTCTATTCCTTTTTGAAATCTTGGGCCACCTGAGCTTTACTTTAACTCCTCATGCCACTTCAGCCCAACCCTTTTTGCACTGGCTCAAAACAATCCTTTGATTGAAGAGAAATTACAGAGCCATTTAAAATTAGACTTCGGTCATATAACTAACAAACCAAAAACACTATTAGTGAATTGGGCTTCTGCATGGAAGGTACTGAGGTATGGTGGCTGAGACTCAGCTCTGGCCTACAAAGTCCTTATTGAAATTTTACCCTGATTTACTTCTCTCTCAGTATCAGGCTTCCTTTCCCTTTCTAAATCTGGAAATAACAATCAGGTTGAACGTGGACTCATACAATATTGTTAACAGGCTTGGAACATTAAAAAAGCTATATAAATGTGAATGGTTATATTATTAAAACCTTGAGTTAATAAAACTATCTATTTTCTGGTAACAGCTAAGATCATGTATTCCTATAAAGCATATTCACTGATCAGATTTATATGTGGTTCTTCTATTTTATAACTCCCTTTTATAGATGAATTTAGGTTGACAGATCAAGAAACTATATACCCCCCATCCAAGTCTCCATGGTCTTGCCTATCCTAGGACTGAACAGGGTAGAAAAACCTAAAATCATAGTCATGATGAATTTATCTTACAACCTATAGCTATGAAGTTTCCAAGAGAATTCAGTGAAGTCCTGTATTATTTCCTCAGCTGTGTAGATGATAAGCAGGAGGGGGATGGGGAGGTCAAGTCAAGATATCAGCCATCACCATATGATTGAACCCCCACCCCTTTTAACGTGATGTGCATAAAAAGAGGTGGGGCTTCCACTATGTGGTCACAGCTGCCATCTAACGATGGGCCTTAGTATAATCAGTGTAGTATGAGACAACGATGTGGAAGGAAGCAACCCAAATGGTCAGGAAGCTCAAAAACGCTCCTTTCGAGTAAAGGCTGAAATGTTTGGGATTCCTTAGCTTAGCAAAAAGGCAACAGAGGAAGGGCGTGCTTGAGGGTTATAAAATCATTCATGAGAGAGCATTTTTTCCATCTCTGCAAACATGAGGACCAGGGTCATCTAATGAGGCTGTTTGGAAAGAGTTTCAGTACAGACAAAAGAAAGCCCTTCCTCACAATGAGCTATAGAATTCATTACAAGACGTTTTGATGGTTGATAACTTGGATGGCTTTAAAGGGGTATTGGATAAATTGATGGGGGACAAGTCTATGGGGCCTAAAAATCTGGAAGACTCACTACCAGTCTCTATCTCCAAATTGTGAGCACCCCACAGAAATCTGCCTAGTCACTTTGTGAAGCAAAATGGTGAATTAAGGGGGGCCTAAATCTCATCCAGCTGTGTTCTCATGATCTTATGGATAAGAGTTATACACACGCCTTCAATCTGTTCTTCCAGAGGTCTAGGCAGGACATTTGGAGAGCCTCCACCCATTCTCCTAACATCCTGTCATGCTCCTAGCAGACAGTGAGATGGATGGGAGGAGAGCAACAGCTCCAAGCATCTGCACTGCAGGGCTAAAGAAACCTTTTGGGAATAGAGCCCCAAATCATGTTTTTTAAAATCAAAATATCCAGGACGGTCATGGGCCACTCTAGCCCTCCTTCTGTTGTAGTATGCGCCTTACGGACATGTTTGACCTACCGTGTGCCTAGTTCATGCCCGCAATAACAACTGTGCATTAAAATACATTACTACCTATTATTTGTCATTGTCCTCTTATATGTGCCTAATCTGTATTAGTGACAAACATGCCTATCACATCTTCGAAAAAGCAAACATGAAAAAGCGAACTACTAATATACAACTGCAAAATTTTGAATACACCAATACTGATAGACTTAATAACATCTCAGATTGGATATTAACATAACATGTAAAAAAGGATGGGGCTGTAGCTCTTTTTTCTGTATTATCTGATTTATTAAATGTTGTTGCTATGACCACTAGTGCTGGAGAACGGAAAGCGCCCATTTCACTAGGACATATGTATAAAGGAAATATTTGTGCTCGCAAGCAAGAGAAATCTACAACTGGAAGGGGGTGTGTCCAGGATAATTAAAAACTTATAATGACGTTTCCATTGCTTGTTAAGTATGGGAGCCCAAATGCAACATATTTCATGGCCGAAATTGGACAGATCAACAGTTCTTATTGGGTGAAAATGAATGATGCACAGAAACAAAGAAACAGAAAAAGGAAGAACACAAATGGCAAAAATAAATGGGACTGATATATCTTCTTAACGATGATTCATTGTTAAGAATTTTTATACTGAGGACAACCCTTTAGCATGAGTGTAATAGAGTATTACTAAATTACTAAAGAGTAATAGATATAATTGGGGTAAAGGAAAGAAAACTGCATTGTAAAATACAGAGACTTCCTCCAAAACAATTCATAGCAGAGTAAGCCGTCTAGATACAGAGAAGAGGGGGTTCTAAAGATTGTCTTCTAACCTAGATATCATTGCATTGTCTTTCAGATGGTGGCTAGACAGCTAAAATAAAGTAACATGGATTGCTCCAAATGGCACCCTTAATATTTACCCTGTTATTGTTATTGAGAGATTAGGGGGAAAAAAAAGAAAAGAAAAGAAAAAAGGAGAACAGCAAGGAGAGAGAAAGTATCAGAAAGTGGAACCCCTATCTTAGGTCGTCTGTAAATGGAGAAGTTAATTCATTTCAAACCCGAGAGATAGAACTAGGTCTCATGATGATGTAGCCATTGAAAATATTGAAATCAGAAAATATTAACACTATATTCTTTTATCTGTTATTAAAATCTCATTTCCCTAGGGTTCCTTGAGAACCTGATGAGGTTCAGTGAAAGGCTAAGGGGGGAAAATGTTCAATCAAAATGCAGCCAATTTTCTACCACCAGAACTCTTGGTCTTGATTGAAATTGGGGGAGGAAAACAAACAAACAAACCCTAACAGGTTCCTCAGCCTGCCAAAGTTTGAAAATTCATGCACTAGATAATAGTAGTTTGCTCTCAGATTAAGAGACATTGTACCTATATACTTTCCTAAAACCTGTTAGGAAAACTCCAGAATGCAGCCATCTGAAGCTGGACTGACTTCAATGGACAAGTTTGGAAAGTATTTTTCCCTCTCAAGGGACTGGTTTTCTGTTTGCAACATTAATATTTAAATAATGGTATATCATCTCATCACAAAATTATCAAGAAAGGATGGATGAAGTTCAAATGTTGTTTCCCATGGTGGGGTTTTGGGACAAATGGGCTAGAAATCATGGCTGTTCATTGCATCATGTCTTCTGAAATATCCTTAAGTTATTTCTGCAAATGTCCCCTATTCATCTTGGTGTGCTTCCATTTTGCCACTTCTCTTGACCTAAGACACACCTTTCTGCCATGGGGTTGTCCACGTCATTTCCCACCGTAATGCAAGAGAAGAAGCAAATAAATGTTTGCACATTTCCCCAACATTCAGGACCAATCCTACCATTAGGCAGCCAAGCATAAAATAATTTATCTTCATTGCATTCACAAAAAAAAAAAAAATCTTCCAGGGACTGTCAGCAGTGTCTGTAACAAACCACAATGGTATAACAGTGATGACACAAGCATAATAATGTCCTCACTCAAATGCCATGTTTTTGCATCATAATGGTCTGATGCAAATTTTTAGGTTGTAGCATTGGCATGATGATGTCATCACACCCGGGTCATCATCTGCCCCCCTGGTCTTCCCCTTGTGGATGCTCATGGCTTCCCATATCTTATGATTTTTTTTGGTTTGTTTTTGCTTCAGGTATTGGCCAGATTTAAATATGATGCACCTTGATTTGGAGATAGGGTGTGTAGTTGCTATTCTATCTCAGGCAGAAAATTCATACCCTGTTGCAGCTCTTTCAACCCTGAAGCACGAAGAAAGCATTTTGAGGCCTAAAGAACACAGAGAATAAGAATATTCCTGATGGGCTAGATAGAGGGAAAGCTTTGGGGAATCCTAACTAGAGGGAAGGGGTTCATCTCTCGATATAAACTCTCCTTTCTGTGGCATGGGAGTCTTTTACAGCCTATTTCAGAGCCTGGCTCTTTAGCTGTAGAGACTCACGCTTTCAGCTCTGGAGGTCCCCGTTTCAATCTCTGGGGTCTGTCAAGGTGGCAGCCGTCACATATGCACCTAAGAATCAGAAGGGAAAGTGTAGATCCAGAATAAAAATTGAAATCCCTAACAATGCACATTGTCTTGCATTTGGCAACTGGCTCTCACAATATCCTGAGGCTACGTTTCTCCAGATAATGTGCTTCCCACACATACATATACATACCAAGGGGCCTTTCCTGTCATAGTGCCTGGCTGATTTATGCCACTCTTCATTTGGTTTTCCAAGTGGAGGAGCACAACCTTATTTCATGGACTTCTCGTTATGAACTCATCACATATGAAATTGATCCCATCTCCTTGTCACAAATCTAAATACATTGCTAGCTTTTGCTACCCAACTGTTGCTCCAGGTAATCTAGCATGCTAATACTGGTGAAGGGAGACCTACATGATCTACAGAATCTGTGGTTGCTGTTAAACATGTTGGACTTTCCCCTCTAACCGATGGGATCGTCTCCATCCCCAAGCCAGCCCTTGCCAGCCACAACCACCAATGTGGACCCTCAACACAATCACCCCGTGCATCTAAGGCAGCTTTTCATTTGCTATATTTTTAAGGAACCCAATAATCCTAAGTATATTGAGAAAGAACCTGATATAAGAATGCTGGTTTGGGTGGCATTCTGATATTGCTTACAATTCGTAATTGTTACAATATATAACTGAACCCAAAGACACGAGGCCACCAATCTGAAGTGAAGATCAAGTTGGCAAACTGTAGACTCCATACACTGATGCCTGAGGAGTCTGACCTTTTCAAAGGCCCCTGAATCTGTTAAAAACAATACTAATCTCACAGGGATCAGCTCTGTCTCAAAAATAAATAATTTAGGAAATCACATAATTCAAGACAAGATAATAAAAGAGTTGTCTTTGTTGAGCAAATCCTGGAGAGCTAAATTTCCTAAAAGTCCAAGTGGATTGATTATGTCACCATTCTTGCTCAGCAGAGGAAGACACCAAGAAGGTCAGAGGCAACATAAGTCTCTCTCTCTCTCTCAGGAGCCAAGTAAGAAATAGTCCGTGTCACAGAGGACTTATCAGACCAGTTGAGTCTGTAAATCTGATTTACACCCAGTTTGACCTCTAGCTCATTTTGCCTAGTTGAGTTTGCTTTTATTCCTATGGCTTTCAAGATTCTAACCAGGTATCTCTACCTGATATTTTTGCCTGAAGATGCTACAGGTAATAGATTTCCTGCTTTGCTGTATTCTACCACAAAACAAACAAACAAATACATTCCATATCCTTTCCCTTAAAGTGAGAGATGGATAAAGGGGTGGAATGGGAAGAGAAAAGAGTCAGCAATGAAAGACAAAACCAGAGGTAAGGGGAAGAAGCAAGATCTAGCAGCATTGAGTGTCAGATCCATAAAGCTATCAGCCCAGAAAGAACCCCCATTTTTGCTCCCTCACCAGCCCTGCAAAGCAATCAGCTGTAAATATACCAGCTCCACTGGGATGGCCAACAAGAATGTTGGTCCTAAAGGAAAGTAGGATCCAAATCATCTTCTACCTGAATAAATCAAAAACTGACTGTATTCAAATTATGACTGAGAAGACCCTGGGGAATGTATTGTGCAGACTATGCTTGATTTAGTCCTGAGTTCAAATCCATAATGAACCTAAGAAACTCATTTATCTTGGGGCAGCCGGAACTTCTGTCCAGCTTACTTTGCAGGATTGCTGGAAGACCTAAGTGTGCACATAGCTGTAGAGTTGTACACAGATGGCCTTGAAGAAAATAAGTTGTAACTGTTAGGAAAACATGAAGTTAACCTGGGAAAACAGGAAAGTATGAGAAAGAAACTCAAGATTGCCTCGCTTTGCTTCTTTCTGGTATAAGAGGAAGGAAATGAAGAATGCTTTCAAGATTCTGTTATTATAGCCTATATGATTAATGTAGAGTTCTAGTATTTTTTATGGGTCTGTTTCCTGACCTGGTCTACCTCAAAGAGTTTGGCTCTTTGCAAAATGAATAAAACAACCTTGGCTCTTCACAGTAAAAGAGCCTTGGCTCTTTACAGAAGGCAACAATATGTGTAGCTGAGATCTTTGGACCCTTATGCTGGAAACAACCTGGTTGTGAGATGGTCAAAAGTTTGAATTACCACTGTTACTGATAATCTGTGTCTATGATATTTTTAAAATTCTATCCATCCATCCATCCATCCATCCATCCATCCATCCATCCATCCATCCTTTATAATTGCCTCATGGTGCTAGAATTCACTTGAGGTCTGCTGAGGCCCATTTCACTCATTGCATTACTCAGAAGCAAACCAGAGTTTGACAGGGAGCTACGGAGAATCCCAGATTTTTAGCAATTATTTGATGCCCATATTATACCATAGAAGAGCACAATGGATACAACACGCAACCAAAACTTAAGCAGCAGCACACTGCTACCCCCATATGGCAGAGGATTGATCAGTGTTTCTCAACCTTGGCAACTTTAAGATGTGTGGACTTCAACTCCCAGAAGTCCACATATCTTAAAGCTGCCAAGGTTGAGAAGCACTGGACTACATGATCCTTACAGACCTTTCCAATTCTACAAACCTCTGATTCTATTCCTTACTATAAACATGTTGGCATGTTAGTTGAGATTTTAGGGACAGAATTATTAGAATCACAGAGCATTCTGCTATGCATATTATTGCAAACCAATATGTTTAGAACCTCTTCTGACATTAGCAATTACTCCATCTTTTGCTGCTTGTTATGTTGGGAGTTCTGGTCATGTGAAGGAGTCATTAAGATGCCTCACCTTCCACTCCTGTTCCCAGGGGACAACACTGGTGTGGAAACTGCTGATCCACTGTTTCCTCCAAAGTCACCTTGGATGTCAGCATTATTTGACTAGCATGGGAAGAATGCAGGCTGCAGCAGTTCCTACTTTGGAAAGCTGCCTCTGATGATCTGAATAATAGAGGACAGCTTTGTGTCATCTTAGGAACTGTTGCAAGAAAAGGAATGTTCAAGTGATGCTATGGCAATGCGACAAAGAACCTGATTTTGCTGGGAAATCTGTCCCAGAGTTGCACAGTGATGGAGAAACACTGAAATGCCCACAATGGAGGATTGGATTGTGAAGATGTTGGAATTTGCAGAAATGGCAGAACTGACCTGTTTGATTGGGGATAAAACAACAAGTATTTTTATAAAAGACTGGCAATATTTTATGGACTTTTTGCTGAAAACAGAAAGAAAATGAAATTGATTTCTGGATTTTCTGATTAAAAAGGGTTGAATATGGGATAGAAGAGAACTATGTAATATAAACTTAAAGAGGGAGGAGGGATAAGAAGTTCGTTTGTAAAGAAGATAAGAAGTCACTTCCTTAACTATCTTTTTCTTTTCTTTCTCTGTGCTGTTTCTTGCACTTTTTCTTTAATATTTTTTCTTTTTCTTAACTTTCCTTTATATATTTTCAAGCTTATCTTTTACTTATGTAAAGATCTTTAATAAAAAATTATATAAGAGGAAATATGTCCCAGAGTGAGAAAAAGAGGATGGGTGAATAAGCTGGATGAAAGGCCACTTGCTCATTGCTAAGCTGTGCATACAGTGACCAGAAGCCTTCAGTTATATCACCCTTTGCAAAAGCTTGGTCCAGAGAAGTATTTGGTCTCATATCTGTTCAGTTAAAATCTGGTGTTGCGTGCGGATTGGACACCATGAGTCAAGGAAGTTTGATTTGTGTGTATGTGTGTATGAAAGAGAGAGAGAGAGAGAGAGAGAGAGAGAGAGAGAGAGACCCCAACATATGAACAGGCTTGACTCCTGCTTGGATGGCTAAGAGAACATCTTAGCTCTTAGCTGCACTTGCCACTGGGCTAGAGGGAGGAAGGGAAGAGAGAAAGAGAGACCACCAGAACAAGCAAGCATAACCTTGACAGCAAAGAGAATTGAGTTGGTGCACAGTAAAGAGAGCTGGGTGCCTGAAAATTCTGGGCCCCTCCTCCTGTTTGCTTGCCAAATAAAACACATCCAGGAAGAGTGATCCCTAATGATAAAAAAAAGATATGATTTGTCCAAAAGTAGTAGATTTTAATTATTGAGATGGAAATGGCATCAAGAAGCTAAGGTCTGTAAGGACACCAGCAGGGCATCTTCTCACACAGGGATTGTAAAAAGGATAATGTCTTTCCTTTGCAAATATCAAGTGGCTTTAAGGTCACAGATTTACACTTGCTTCCTGGGAGCAAGTGCTGTTGAACTCAGGGAGCTTATCTTTGAATAAGGCATGGATTAAACAGGACTCTTGAATCCCTTGTTTGTGGATGTGTACATGAAACAAGCATGAATACACACAGCAGCAACCAGGCAGAAGCAGCAGCCTCTCTCTTTCTCCCTTTCTCATTCATGCAAACACAAGCCCACCAGACTCCTAAAGAAATAAGGTGGGATGTGCTAAAATTTGCCTCAATAGGTAGCAGTCTCAGGTGCTAAGCAGGGTTCATCCTGTTATTATGCAGATGGAGGATCACTTGCAGAGATGGGAGCTAGGCTGGAAAGCTGACGTTGGCTGTGGCAAACCATAAAGCTGCCAGGAAACCTGCATGGATGAAGGAGCTGAGTTGAGTAAAAGGGATGATTAATAAAGAAGCTTCTTCCTACCCAGCTTAACATCTATTTCATCACCTCTTCATAATAAATGCTTTCCCTTTGGTTTTATGCTCATTTTTCCCTGCTGGCCCATACCTAGGGAGGAAAATGTGTATTTAAGTCTCCCAGACTCGTAAGAAAGAATGGCAATGCCAAAATAGAGAAGATACAGCCACCTTCCCTGCTTTCTAGCACTGTGGCCAGAAAAAGTTTCCTTGGCTTTCGAACAAGCTGGGTGAAGAATTTAGATTTTCAAACAGCCCCAAAATGGAACATTGCCTGCAACTGGAGGAAGGACTGGTGGAGCCATGAACCATAAAAGAGGACTGAAAGCTGTTTAATATGAATTTAAAACTCCATGACCCAAGGAGATCAATGGGACTTCAACCATTACACTAGTCCCTG